GTAAGTGTTTTACTGCACTCACAACTGCATAAGGTCATATGAGTATGAGCGGGCGGGACACATTAAACATTTTCAGTCGGTAGGAAATTTTGAATTTTGCCTGTGTGGCGGCTAAAGCCTACTCGTATCACAAAGAGATCTTTAACTTGCGCGACTTGTGCACGAGACCTCCGAGATCTTTCACCCTTGTCCAAGAAGGCTAGGTGTAGATCTTTCCTACCATAAGATCAGGGGTGTGGATGAAAGACAGCAGTAAGAAGGAGCCAAGGAGTAGCAATAGAAAGGCTGCAGAAAGAGTCAGGAGCCCAGAGAAGGGGGCAAAGGAGGTGAAGGGGTGGGGGAAGAAAGTGTGGACAAAATTTAAGCAGACGACAGAACATTGATAGAGAGCAGAAAAAAAGGTGAAAGGAGACAATTTTAGACAAGAAAATTTTCTGTCACTATACGGATTCGAACCCGTGACCTATTGAATGAAAGGAGAACATCTTATCCTCTGGGCCATGAGAGCCCCCTCATTATTTTTATGATTCCTCTGTAGTTTTTACACTCATGCAGGTCTCCCTTCTTGGGTAGTTTCACAAGCAATCCCTCTCTCCAATCCTATGGAAATTCTTCGCTGTCCCATATCTTGCAAATAATTCCATGAAGAATACCTGCGGCAGTGTCGATATCCGCCTTGAAAACTTCTGGGGGAATTCCATCTGGGCCATGAGAGCCCCCCTCATTATTTTCATTATTTTTTTAATCGTTATGATTTTTAAATCATTACAGTCAAACCCCGTTATCCCCCCAACCTTGGGATGAGCATGAAGTTGACGGTACAACGAAGGTCTTCATGTCTTCTGTTAAATACAACATCGACTGCCCAACATCAAGGGAACTTGCTTTCCAATCACAAGATAAAGTAATGAGTTATGTCCCTTCGATCTGTCACTTTGACTTGAGCATGAGTCCTCATTAAATAAAAGCCCCAGAGATTGCCAGCCTGTAAGTTATTGGGCTGATATCTGGCGACGTCAGATATTTTGCCGGGGGGCCAAGATGATGGGGTTCCTTTAAAGTTTCTCCAGGCGAAATAAAAAGTCAATTTCAATTTTTGTTTAATGTTGACCATGTCCTAAAAATAATCGCATTTTCATAATCACCTCATCAAATTTAGTCGTATTCATGCGGGGAGCGAAATTTGACGCTGAATTACAAAGTTGTGTTTTATTTTAATTGTACTTTTATGAATTCCAAATTGTATTGTGTTCGTGTGTGATGCACTGCATCACTGTAGATCTATTAAATTCATACTGCCTGAAATCTACAAGACAAGGGTGGAGAGGTGGGATGGGTGGGAAGATAGCAAATCAGTGAAAAGTGAGACATGTGTGTGAAAGATAGTGAAGCAACCACTGAGTGGGTGTGCTGTGCTCTGTGTGTAGCCTAGTGTGTAAGGTGTTCTTGCCAGTTCACTGACGGTACAACATGGTAAATTTGCACTAGTTTAATAAGGGCTGTACAGCTAAAATATTTGGCGGATGACAGATGGTGCTGTGAAGGCGCAAATATCATGTTTATATGGGGGGATTCTTTTCGTACAATGCAAAAACCTTGCGGTAAGTGGAGCTGGTGATTCAACAGGGGGCGGTACAGTGAGGTTTGACTGTACTTTTATTATCATTAATATCACAGTTACTTTATTATCAAAATTAATATTATGTTCATCTTTCTGTATGAACTTTATTAAGCAAAGAAAAAGTGATCCCTCACCACGAAGTTTGTTGGCACAAGTGTAGATGTCTGACACGCTCGTTATTTTTTCCAGGTACATGACAATCCCACTTGTGCGCACTGGAGAAGGGATTTCAGTTTGATTCAAAAGACCTGGTCTGACATAGAAATGGTCACCCACAATGTATGTCACTTCACTGACACGCTCACACAGCTTCATCCAAGCTTCTGAATCCTGTAAAAAAATATTTTACAAAAATTGTTTAGTTAAAGGTGTAACTTTAACTCTTTGAACATCAGATTCTGAAAATATTTTCAAATAATTTTTTTTTTTTTTTTTTTTTGGGGGGGGGGGGATTTTTGCTCGTCTGTACAATTTAGGTAAACAACTCAGATTGTACAGGAAAATAGTCATGTCATACATAAAAGCAAAATTGATTTCATGCAGAAGCTGATAATATAGGAATCATGAATGTATCATGTTGTCTTTGTTGAGGAAAAGGATCTGCAGAAAAAATGAAACAGTTAATGAGAAATACAAATGAACGCATTTTGCATTCTTCTGTGGATGAAGGATTTCCTGACTAATGCTGTGAAAGTCATTCAGGGTTTAAAAAGTCAAACCTAGTGTTCTCAACATATGTTTTTCAGTTGCTGATTACTTCTAGTGTGATTCCAGTTTCATAGAATTGTTATCACATTCAAGTTCTTAGAGTTTCTACAATTTTTAGACCTACTTGAAACCATCAACAGAATATTTTCAAATGTTGTAAATGACAATTATTTTTGTTATGATGAATTTAATTTCTTTATGCATTTAACTTTACGCATTCATTACAAATTCCATTAAAAATGAAAAAATCCACGCTTGATTTATATTAGATAACATTTTTACTAAAGCTCATCCCCTACTTCAAAGAAAAGAAAATCAGGTGTTTCAGTCATACTGACACCTCCACAAGTCATGATTATTTCTACACTTTTAACAATGAAATGCTTACCTGTCCCCTCAATGGATCAATGACAGCCACAATGGAGGGGTATTTGGCTATCATATCAGCCCAGAATTCCACCATGTCGTCATTCGTCTTAAGCTGACCAGCTACTATTTCATATTTGCCCTTTTCCTAAGGAAAATTCATAACAGAAAACATACATAAATATAAACTGCAAAAAGAAACAGAGCATTTCCAAATTACTGTTAAGGTAGAACACTTTTCAGTAACAGATGAAATTAGGTTAACTTGGGGATCTGCAACTTACAGACACATTTAGTCTACATTCAACCAGACAAGAACTTTTAATTCTACAGTAAACATGAATGGTCATGACTTTGCTGTTCTGAAATCTGGTTTAGACCAAGTGTATTCAGGGACATTCACAAAACCACACTCATGCATATCACCTCATCACACTGTAGCCAGATTTCACTCTGAATTTAAGGCATGGAGCATAACATACTGTTGCAACGGTTTATCATGGATAATCTCTTCCGAAACATATTTTTGAAAAAAACTAGACATTACAACCAAATTAATTCTTAGTATAAGATTCCATCCAATGAGCTGCACCCAATGACTATATCATAATTGTAGTAGTTCCAACATGTGCTTGTCAGTCACGGCTGTTCCACTCAGGATCTCTTCGTTGCCGGTCGACCTGACCTCCGAGACGAGGTCACGCCCCGGTCACGCTACCTGCGGGCACTCGGCCTCGCGGTCAGCGGCTCCCCCGCGATGTTATGTTTTGTACACATAAAACAACACCAGTTCTTATGAAAGCCGAGAAAGTCAATGAAACAACAACCAAATGATCACATGAAGACGAAGGTGTAGTTTACGACAGTATTATTTTTATCACGGAGAAGTAAAAGAAAGTGTTGTTTAAAAGAGGGGGAAAGTGGCTTTCATCATAGATCGGTTATTACAAACAAAAATGTTTTTAAAAAAATAATTAAAAATAAATGGACCGACAGATTGTTACAGTCTTCATTTTCAGCTCACAGTCAGACTTTGAACTTTCAAACACACTTACGTTTATGAGGTAGGACCAAAAAGTCTTGTTGCTATTGTTGATTAATGCACACAGTCTTGTCAGTGAGTGGGAAAACAGTTGAGTCCAGCCAACGCACGAGTACTTTTCACATGAGAATGAAGACCGTTCTTTACACCTTCACAGCTGAATTGATGTTACTATAGTCAATATTTTGATAAACATACTACTATAAAACTGTTTAGGAACTAATGTTTTATCCGTGAATGGTCTGAATCGTCTAAATCGTCTTGTAGTCCTGTTTACTTTTTCCTGCGTTTTTCCGCCGGCTCAGGGAGTGCGGCCTTCAAATCTGCAGATGTCTGTACGGTGTGCTTCCAAACACAGCTTTCAGTTGTTTTTGTTTGCTTTTTATGCCGACTGTTCTCTTTTGCTTCCGTAGTGTGTATATTCGCGAGCCACATTTCCTGCACAGAGTGTTGGAATGCTTGTCGGCTGTGTCGTTGTCAATGTTCAGTCTATAATATTGCAATAAGTCAAACTTAAAGTTTTTACACAAAAATCGACGCTGCTGAGAATCTTTAGTTTTTAAACTTCTTTCACCACAAGTACGACACAACTTGTTTAAATTCTCAAAGTGGATGTTATAAGAGTGTTCCATCTTTGATGTTAAAAGGCTCAATAATTATAAACACACAAGAAAGTCAGACGGCAAGTTCCCGCTTCACAGAGTTTTTCTTTGCACTGAGCGTTGCACTAGACTAGTCACATAAAGTGCGCTAGTTCATGGAAATTTGGCTCCTACCCTGAGATTTTTTCAGCACAATGGAGAGAATAGATTTATAAAAAGAAATATGAAGGTTAAAACAAAAATTGTCGGCTCGAATTATCAAAATTCTCTTTTAAATCCAAAAACTTCAATAACACAGAGCTGTACAACAGTGGTAGTATATAGGTATCCCAAGGGAGTAGAAAACGAGATAGAAACTCAAACTGCGGGTTATAGAGGAGATGCTGAGCTTTTATTTAGTATACAACACTCCAAGGTTTACGGGATGGAGAAAGGGAGTACTATGTTGTAAATTCCAGTTAATTTCTGGAAATTGTACCCTTACCGCGCAGAGCGGTCAGATCTAGGGATAGGCCGGTGGAAGTGGCGTAACGCGTCGAGATTTATTACCTTCCGCGAGGGGTCACAGGGGTCAGAAGGGTCAGACGGGCTACAACTAAGTGCGCCGCTCGGAGAGTGAAACTGAACAGCCGTGCAGTGCGAATGGGATTTGTGCCTGTGGCCATATTTTCACGAACACTTTGGTGAGTACCATTACTTTTATCTCTGCAGCTTTAAACCTATACTATACAGCAGATCCTCACATTTTTCTAATTGTGGAATAAGAAATCAACAGCTGAATTCTGGAGCATTTTAAAACAATTCACAGCAATTAAAAATCATTGTTTTATAAATTCTTAATCTCAAAACCATGAAAATTTGGCTCTATCATGTTCTTAGTAATATTGAACACTACCTTCCTTTCAATTTTGAGTTCTGAAGAGTGTGCGGTTTCTTCTAAAAAGCGACACAAAGGGCGCAAAGCTACATAAATACACAGTCAAAATAGATGTCTTACAAAGTCAAAGAACTCATGAGCAGCAGCATTAACAGCCAGATACATGTCTTCCCCGATGGTCAGTCCCTGAGCGTTGATGGCTTCCTGCAGTAGGTCAAGGGCCTGTGTGGGTGTGTCCAGCGTTGGGCACAAAGTACCAGACTCATTCACAAACTTGGCAGACACCTGCAAAAATAACACAGGAGAATGAAACAGAGTTAATGTTTAAAAGTAATGAACTGGCTTTTCAAAGCACACTTTTACTGGGAGATACCTCAGACCAATTTGTAACACCATGTTACTTGTTTTATGCACACAAGCTCATACATTAATAGCAAATGTGGGAACAGTTATGAAGTCTGTCTGTCTGTCTGTCTGTCTGTCTGTCTGTCTGTCTGTCTGTCTGTCTGTCTGTCTGTCTGTCTGTCTGTCTGTCTGTCTGTCTCTGTCTGTCTGTCTGTCTGTCTGTCTGTCTGTCTGTCTGTCTGTGTCTGTCTGTCTCTGTCTGTCTGTCTGTCTCTTCTCAAGACATGCTTGCTTCTCTAAGGTACCACATTCCCTATAGCTTGTGAATAGCAATTTATGGACACACTTGAAACTATAGACAATATATTTTTAGATGTTGTAAATGACAATTATTTTTTGTTATGAAGAATTAAATTGCTTCTATATATATTCAAGTTCTACAAAATCCCTTACCAAATACGAATAAAATATCCAAGTGGGTGGCTTCTTCAAAATTTAAAAGGTTTACAGCTGGGGCAATATCGTTTTTAAAAGCAAGTCCATCATTGTCTTCTAATAACGACATTATGCTTATTAAATGCATGCTTTGAGAACCTTCAGCCCCAAAATGTGTTCACTATAAAATTAATTTCTTGTAACAAGTTTTGATACTAAAAAGTGTCATTGTAAATCTGTGACATATGCTATATGCATATGCTAAATGCGGGAAGGGCTGAGAACAAGTTTTTTCATTTCGCCGCATTTGTTGTAGAAAAATATGATTAAGTTAAGACAAATTGATTCAAACTGCTAGCATGCTAAGCAAAGTATGGGGGACATTGATTCACCCGTTAAAGAGATATTTGAGGATAAGGGGAGCCACGAATTTTTGACGGCACTATAAAAATATTTTTCTGTAATAGCTTCAGCTATAGTTGCATCCCTTTATCAAAAAACATTATGAGGGCGAGGGAGCAGAAGGGGATCTCATGAAAAGAATGCTGTCGTTTTATCTCTTTTTGTCTTTCTAACACTCATATAATGTAACAATGTCCCTTAAAGTTCAAAATATAAATTGAATTCCTATTATTGTGCTTCATTTGAATCAGGCAGCAATGAAGCCAATATTAATCCCAGTTCAGCTCTTGTTTTCTTTCACTTTACTGAAAGTCTTGACTTATTTCATTTATGATTCCATTCTAACTTCAGTGCATAAGTATAAGAAATCAAACATTTAACATTTTTTATGCATTAGTACTAAACTACTAGATTCTATCTTTATGCTCACAGTGCTTTGAAGAAAATAGTGTTTGTACAATGCATTAAAAACACTATTCCAGCAAATAAGAGAACAGATATATGAAATACAAATAACTGTAAGATACTTACTCCCATTTTGGATACAAATGATTTTGCCACATAACTGTTGATATGCTGAATGTGTTGAATAGCCTGAGAGAAGTAAAGACATGAGCACCTATTAGTACATGCATTGGAAAAAATTCTTGCATAAAATCATTAATTTATGATGAGAAACTGATGAATTTTAAAATCTCATTGAATCTTTAAACAAATAATAAATGCATCAGGCTCTTAGAATCATCAAAACCATCATGGTGATTGCACAACGGTTATTGATTTCAAATGCATTAACAACATTGTCAATTAAAATAGGTAAAAATAAGTTATCAATGTGATTTCATGATATGTTGATGAAGGTTAAAAAAATTATATAAAAACTTGAAAGGCAAACTCTAGAGATACATGGCAGTGCAGTAGATCCTTACAACTCAGAAATAAAATGACAACTAGCATATCATGTACCAGTCTACCTTGTCTATAGTCATGCCAATTCCTGGGACAACCATGTACTCCTTGATGCAGTTAGATTTCCCAAGGCCATGCTTGCCACTCTGAATAATTGTCACCATCGGAAGTGGGATGCGAAATTCATGAACAGCTCCCTAGATATGATCAGAAGTAAAATAAAAAAAACTCTTATGTTTGGACTAAATAATAAACATATTAACTCATTTAATTTGGGATGTTTTCTTATTATCAGTGTCAGAAAGCAAAAAGAAAAAAAAAATCATAACACCCTCTAACTTAAAAGAATACAAAGATCCAGATTGTTGTCCTTTCAGAAGTGCAGCTAGAACAATATTCTTCCAACTATTACTATGTTACATTTCCATGGAGGAAAACAAGCTTTGATAACACAATCAGTCAAAGTACACGAGTATGCATTGTGAACAAAAAGACTTCATTAATTTTTTTTTCCTGAAAAGACAACGAAAACAAGGAACTATAGTATAACATGGATAGCTCGAATTCATCAGGACCAGCCTCGGTAGTTCAAGGGATACGTGAACAGTGTTATGACATCGGCTGTGTCAAGGGAATCAAGGGAAGGAACAAAGATTGCTACTTTAGGGGCAAAACAATAGATCAATTATCTCCCTTCAGCTTTCTGTGAGCGTTTTGGGGCAAATTAAATGACAAAATGAGAATGAGAAACACTTTCCAGTTCGATTGGTAACAAGCCTACCGGTACTAAAACAATCTAATTGCGCAGGTCAGTGTGAGTGGTCTTTAGCCAGCACCAATCAAATGGTGCCTTTTCAAATTTTTCAAAACATAAACAATTTGATGGGATAAGCATATCGCAACAGTAATCAACAACGCGATGACGAAAACATAAAGCCTTCCCCTTCTCTCCCACCAAAAGAATAATCCTTTGCGAAGAGGCGTGCGGTGGTCAATCGTGTGAGGCGCAGCCCTTCCTCTCGCCCGCTCCAAACAAGCCTAGCTAGGTCTAGGACTCAAGCTTGTGTGTCGAGCAGCGCTCTAAAATTAGCACAGCTACCTGCTTCTACGGAGGGGGGAAGGTGGTATTTTACTGACCTTATTTTGTCTCAAGTGCACCTCAAAGGACATTAACTTTAGACCTCTACCATGGTGTAATTAGTTCGACTATTCCGTGTTTGTGTTTAAGCTTAGAATAATTTTCTTACAAAATTACAAAAATTGTGGCGTCGGTGGCCTAGTGGTTAGGCTCTCGGACTCGCAACC